TAATGAAAGGAATTATTTTCTCTAATCTTTTAGAGAGGACTTTACTAATTATTTTAACATCCACATTAATAAGAGAGATGGGGCGATAACTGGTAGGTAGTACTGGGTCTTTGTCAGGTTTTAATAGTAGACTAATCCAGACTGATTTGTTTCACCTCAAACTTGTCCTAAATGCCGAAAAAACCAAAGGGATGCTTTTTTCAAATAGGAAGTCGGTCCCAGCAGTTCTTCCTCCGATTTTATCCTCAAATGGTGTCCCCATTGAGTTTGTTGATTCCTATAAATATTTGGGTATCTTGGTCGACTCACATCTTTCTTTTAAGCTCCATGTGGAAAACTTGGTAAAGAAACTGAAAGTTAAACTGGGTTTCTTTTTCAGAAACAGATCCTGTCTAACCCTGAATGCTAGAAAACGCCTTGTATCTGTGACTTTCCTTCCCTCAATTGATTTTGGTGATATTATTTACATGAACGCTCCTACAAGAACCCTGCAGATGTTGGATGCTGTCTATCATGGTGCACTAAGATTCATAACTGGCTGTGATTATCATACCCACCACTGCACCCTGTATTCACTGGTTAACTGGACATCATTAACTTCACGCAGACTCTCCCACTGGTACATTTTCATCTTTAAATCACTTCTTGGTCTGCTGCCTTCATACATCTCCTCCTACATGTCTCTGCGTGAGTGCAGCTACAGCGTGCACTCTCAGGACATCATTACCTGCAGTGTTCCCTCAGTGAGGACTGAACTAGGCAAAAGGGCCTTCTCCTACTCCGCTCCTGTCTCCTGGAATATCTTACAAAAAGATTTGAAGCTCTCGACCTTTGACCTCTCTAAGTGGCTTTAAGAATCTGTTGGACTCCTGGCAGGGACCAATGCAGACATGTTCCTGTTTTTAGTTTTATACATTTGTCTCGGAATCTAGCAGTTTTTTTTGGTTTTGTTACCTTTTTCCTTTTAGCCATCCTATTTGTTAAAAAAAAAAATAAAAAAAAAAACTGTAGTATGAGTTTTTATAACTGCTTATTGTTGTTGCTGTTGTCCATTGTTGTCATCTTTCTTTGTTGAAATCAGGTCTCTCTTGTAAATGAGTCCTCGAGGCTCAATGGGATTTACCTGTATAAATAAAGGTTGATTGATTTCCCCCCAAGACGCCGGATGGTGGACCAGAATCGTCTCAAAGCCATACGGAAGTCATTCTCCATGACCTCTCCAAACTCCTCCCATGCCCAAGTTTTTACCTCAGCGACCACCCGAGCCGCATGTCGCTTGGACTGCCGGTACCCATCAGCTGCTTCTGGGGTCCCACAGGCCAAAAAGACCCGATAGGACTCCTTCTTCAGCCTGACAGCATCCCTCACCGACGATGTCCACCACAGGTTCGAGGGTTGCCACCACGACAGGCACTGACAACCTTGCGGCCACAGCGCCGGTAAGCCACTGCAACAATAGAGGCACGGAACATGGCTCACTCGGACTCAATGTTCCCTACCTCCCCCGGAACATGTTCGAAGTTCTCCCGAAGGTGGGAGTTAAAACTCTGTCTCACAGGAGACTCTACCAGACGTTCCCAGCAAACCCTCACAACACGTTTGGGTCTGCCAGGTCTGACCGGCATCCTCCCCCACCATCGGAGCCAACTCACCACCAGGTAGTGATCAGTGGACAGCTCCGCCCCTCTCTTCACCCAAGTGTCCAAGACATGTGACTTCAGATCAAATGAGACGATGACAAAGTCAATCATCGAACTGTGGCCTAGGGTGTCCTGGTACCAAGAGCACATATGGACACCCTTATGCTTGAACATGGTGTTTGTTATTGACAATCCATGACGAGCACAGAAGTCCAACAACAGAACACCACACGGGTTCAGATCAGGGGGGGTGTTCCTCCCAACCACACCCCTCCGGGTCTCACTGTCATTGCCCACGTGAGCATTGAAGTCCCCCAGCAGAACAAGGGAGTCCCCAGGAGGTGCACTTTCCAGTACTCCCTCCAAGGACTCCAAAAAGTGTGGATAATCTGAACTGCCGTTTGGTGCATAAGCACAAACGACAGCCAGAACCCGTCCCCTCACACGCTAGGCGGAGGGAGGCCACGCTCTCATTCACCGGGATGAACCCCAACACACAGGCACCAATATGGGGGGGGGGGGGGGGCAATAAGTATGCCCACTCCTGCTCTGCACCTCTCACCAGGGGCAACTCCAGAGTGGAAGAGTGTCCAGCCCCTCTCAAGAAAACTGGTTCCAGAACAAGAGCCATGCGTAAAGGTGAGTCCGACTATTTCTAGCCGGAACCTCTCAACCTCACACACCAGCTCAGGCTCTTTCCCCACCAATGAGGTGACATTCCACATCCCAATAGCCAGCTTCTGTAGCCGAGGATCAGACCACCAGGGTCCCCGACCTCAGCCACCACCCATCCCACATTGCACTTGACCCCTTTGGCCCCTCCCACAGGTGGTGGTAAGCCCATGGGAAGGGGGACCCACGTCTCTTCTTCGGGCTGTGCCTGGCCGAGCTCCATGGGTAAAAGCCCGGCCACCAGGCGCTCGCCCACGTGCCCCACCTCCAGGCCTGGCTCCAGAGTGGGGTCCCGGTGACCCATGACCAAGCAAAGGAACACCAAGTCCATTTATTTTACTCAACATAGGGTCTTTGGGCTGCACTTTGTCTGGTCCCTCACCTAGGACTTGTCTGCCTTGGGTGATCCTACTAGGGGCGTAAAGCCCCTGACAGCATAGCTCCTAGGATCATTGGGACACTCAAACCCCTCCACCACGGTAAGGTGGCAGCCCAGGGAGGGGCTATGGTCATGAGCTTTGGGTTGTGACCGAAAGAATGAGATCTCGGATACAAACGGCCGAAATGAGTTTTCTCCGCAGGGTGTCTGGGCTCTCCCTTAGAGATAGGGTGAGAAGCTTGATCATCTGGGAGAGATTCAGAGTAGAGCCGCTGCTTCTCCACGTTGAGAGGAGCCAGTTGAGGTGGCTCGGGCATCTGTTTAGGTTGCCTCCTGGACACCTCCCTGGTGAGGTGTTCTGGACACATCCCACCGGGAGGAGGCCCAGAGGAAAACCCAGGACACGCTGGAGGGACTAAGTTTCTCGGCTGGCCTGGGAACACCTCGGGATTCCCACGGAGGAGCTGGACCAAGTGGCTGGGGAGAGGGAAGTCTGGGCCTCCCTACTTAGGCTGCTACCCCGCGACCCGACCCTGGATAAGCGGAAGAAAATGGATGGATGGATGGATGGATGGATGGATGGAAGGAAGCAAGGAAGCAAGGAAGGAAGCAAGGAAGCAAGGAAGGAAGGAAGGAAGGAAGTTAGTAAGTTAGTAAGTTAGTTAGTTAGTTTTCACGTCAGTCTGCCAATCTACGTTCGATTACTCTGGAAGGACCCGGATGTGTCACACAACAAACTGAATTTTGAAACTGAATTATAAAACTGACATTTTAAAGCAAATTAATTCAGTTTCAATTTGTACAATTCAAAATCAGTTCTGCTGGCTCAAGTTTCTGCCCATAGTCTTGGCTTGAACACGCCAGCAGAACTACATAATCCACATAAAGTAGAAGAGAGACTAATTTTAATAATTACTCTTTGAATTATAATAATAATTGTAATTAGTCTTAGTTATAATTCATTTTAGAAGAGACCCTGAGGTTACCAAACCAGACCACCTCCTCTCCACGACTACATCTTGAGCTCTTGTCCAGGAAAATCACAAACAGGATCAGAGACCAGGGACAGCCCTGGTAGAGTCCAACATGCGAGAATAAGAACGTGGACTCAGCTCCTGTTTTGGTTTTACAGGGAATGGATACCCCTTAAAGCAACCCAGGCACCCCATAGTCCTGCAGCACCCCCAACAGAACACCTTGGGCAACATGTTCCTGAGATGTCCAAACACTCCATGAAGATATGTTAAAGGCTCTGATTAACAAATACATCTTTGTTTTACTTTTTTTACTGAAAACACTGAACTGAATATTCTCTATGCCAGTGGTTCCCAACCCTGGTCCCAGAGGAACACCACCCTGCAAGTAAATGGAAATGGTAAATGGACTGTACTTATATAGTGCTTTTCTATCTTATTTCAAGATACTCAAAGCGCTTTACACAACAATCTGTGTCCTCATTGACCCATTCATACAGCACTCTGCTAGATCTCTACAAAGTTAATTGAACAAATTATTCTAATGAGACTAATCAGAGCTTTAGATCACATTCATACACTGATGGGACACACATCAGAGGCTATGAGGGGTTCAGTGGCTTGCCCAGGGACACTTCGACATATGACTGCTGGTGGATTTGAACGCCCAACTCTCGCATTGGAGGACGACTGCTCTAACCACTCAGCCACAGCTGCCCCAAGTTTTAGTTGTTTCACTGCTTTGACACACTGGAATTGAATGAATGGGTAATTAAGGTTCAAGGTGACTTTATTGTCATTCACATCACACACATGTGGTACATGAGGTGGAACAAAACTGTGTACTCAAGGTCCCAGTTACACTCATATATCAACAGGCTTCTGCAGAACTTGATGAAATAATTAAATCACTGAATCAGGTGTGTTGGAGTGGGGAAACAACCAAACCATGTAGGATAGTCTGATGCAAGCTCACTAATCCAGGTAGAAAAATCTAACGAACTGAACCTATCCAGAGGACCTGACTTAACATTTTTTAGACAAGGATACTGTTTCTTGAGGACCAGGGTTGGGAACCACTGGATGCAACACCTTGCAGTAAGCACACAAAACACCTGCATCTTTTTCACTGACGTCCCTTTACAGGCTCCGTAGGTTTGGTGTGTTTGACAAAAGATGTTACGTTTTTCTGCACTGATGTCAAGTTTTAGGTACACTTTTGTATCAAACTTCAATTTGATGATGCATGTTGCAGAACATATACAGGATGTTTCAACCTTATTAGCAGTGAAGCTAAATTAGCAGATTAGGGGGAAGCAGGTGCGATGTGATTACCTGTGCAGACTCTAGTGTGTACATTTGGACCACCAACTCGTCCTCATTGGACAGACAGATGTGACTCTCACTCCTCAGAGTGACGGTGAACGAGCCAAAAGTGATTGGTTTCCCTTTGCGAGGCCAGAAGACACATGGTTCTGCTTCATCCTTCACCTGCCAAAAACACAAAGTTAGACAACAGTAAAGGGCAAAGGTGCTCTCACTGTCATGTTCCTGCCTATTTGACCAACAGAACGTTCTCTGTCATGTTGGATAATCTGTCTTCCTCCACTGCCCCTCTCTCTTGTGGTGTGCCACAGGGTTCTATTCTTGGTCTTGTCCTCTTCTCATTGTACATGCTGCCCCTTGGATCAGTGATAGCCAGACATAATTTTTCTTTTCACTGTTATGCTGATGATGTACAAATTTATTTACCAATGTAGTGAACTAGGCCTCCAACAACAATCTGTCTCTGAAGACCTTCAGGGGACAGGAACTGTTATTTTACGTTGTCTTTGAAGCTGAGCGCCATCTCAGAGCTGCTTCTATGCTGATTTGTTACATTTTCACAGTAAATTGTGCATTTTCGAGGCTTTGATGGGCGATAATTTGACCGGACTGTTGATGCTAACTGCTAGCCTAAGGCGAGTACACATGAGCTGTGATTGGTCGAGGACCGCTGTTTGGGACGTTCTGATTCGCTGAGAAGCTGGTGATGTAACGCCGTGTACGTCCACTCACTCTGGCGTCAGTGCGTAAAGCCCACCCCTGATGTTCACGTGTCTGTAAAGTCAGTGACCCCGGAAATGAAGCTCGTTTTAACGGAGTCTTCCTTTGTGTTTAAAAAAGCTGAATAAAGCCCTGACATTTGTTCCTAAACTCATGAGTATATGCAGAAAGAGTGTGCTTGTGAAGCGACGCCACGTTAAAGCTTTCAATCCGTCCATAAATGCTAATTTGAACCAGGTTCGACCGTTGTTACATTGTAGCTAACGGCTAAAAACCGGATGTCAACAGGACGGTTCACAAGAGATTGTCAGTGACTCCTACCGGTAAAAGTAAGCTTACACCGCCACCTGCTGTTGAAAAAAAGAGTATAACAGTTTTTCAGAAATGAGAGCTGCGGACTCGCTTTTCATTAAAAAAAATTTATTTTCTTAATCAAGCCTGGTTTATGGGTACTGTTTAAATAGCAAATTCTGGTAAATTAAACTGCTTAAGGGTGTTTACAACTACACAGTTGCTGTCAGTCTTCTTAGAAAATATTGTAGGTTTATTTAATTTTAAGTGCATTGGAGTAAATGAACACTGAAATAGCCTGGCTCTTGTATCTGTTAGAATTAAGCTCATATTAAGTAACACTGCCACAAGAAGCATTTACTTACAATATTAATGGGATAAAGCCTAAACACAGGTGCCCATTTATTGAAAAATTGGCTTATAACAGTACTGTTGATGAAACCCAGAGCTAAAATAGTGTGTGAAACTCAGTGCTCACTTAAATACAAACATTTACCTGTTGAAAAACTCTAAGATTGCGACGGTCTAACCAGATAGGTTTTGCTGAACTGTGGATACAACCATGGCAGATTTAACAGAAGCTAAGAATGCTTATGTGACTCCATGTGATAAAAAGGACTGGCATGAGACAGCCCTAAAGATGCTAACAGATTCCTTATATCCATATGGTGAACAGGTGGACAGCATGACCTCAACAGAGTTATTGGACGAGCTGAAGGAAGTTGCAGACAGTGTAACTTCTGCAGCCATAACGAAGTCAAGCTATGAACAGCTAGCTAGAATGGCACTCTTGTTAAAGCTAAATTTTACATTGAGGCCAACAGGGCAGAAGCCCTTGATATAAGGTTGAAACGCGAGACAGAGGACCGCGAAACAACACGTGAGGAGTATCAAAAATTCATGGCACAGTTTCAATTTGATAAGGAGACCTGGGAGAATTAATTGAAAAGTGAAAAAGAGATCTCACAAGCTTAGCTGTTGTTACAAGCAAACTCATATGAGGAAAAGCTATGTGAAGGAGGGATTAATTACCAAGCACTGTGTTCAGACAATGATGCTCTGCACCAACGGTTGCAGCTCACATCAAAATCTCTGGACAAGTGCATATTGGAAAAAGCGGCGTTAGTCCAACAAGGCGTGCGTTTACAAAGTTAGTGTCATACATCACATGAACGCTTAACAGCCTGTGAGGCAAAACTTGCCGCAGCCACAAATAAAATCTCTGACGAGGGGCAAGGATGTCTGGAACTCAAAGACGAACTGGGTCAGAGTCCAGGTCAACCATCACCACCTCAGAAGGATTTTGCTGTACCTCCTACACATAATCCCCTTATGTCACCTCCACGTGATTATTTTGTTCCAACAACACCAATCCCTCAGCCTCCGCTCTCAATAGCGGCATTGCATAAAATAGCGAAATATGTCCAACGCTTTGAGCCAGGGCCGTTGGGTTCGACCGACACTAAAGCCTATCTGCACAACCTTGACTTCCAATTAAGGAACTATCCCAACGCTACAGTTGAGGATAAAGTAGGTTAAATCAGGCTCACTTCAGCCAGGACGATGTTTTCCTTCATAGAGCGTCAACCTGATGCCACACGAAGGGATTACCGCCTGTTATGTGCTGCACTTATGAAAGAGTATACCCCTTGCGCGGGACCAGGCGGATATCCAGCCGCCGACAAGGTCATGCAAGGTAAGAATAAGCACCCAAGGGCATATTATTCCAGAATTTTGCAGGCTTATTTTGGTTACAGGAACGAGACCGGCATGGAGGAGGAGGAAGCGTTTAAATTCATTTTCAGCAAAAATCTCCACCCTGACATAAGGATGTCAGTGCAGATAATGGCTAATTTCAAAGAGAAAACCATCAGTGAGATAAAAAATTGTGCTGTGAATGTCTTTGAGGCCCGTTCACAGGCCAAAACACCCATTGAGGTGTTCCCAGGTGAGAGGATTCCTGCCCAGTCATTAGAATTGGAAGGGACGAGAGCTTCAGCTCCCCGTCCCAAAACAGGCGAGAGGAAACGGGGTTTCCCAGCAGCCAAACCACAACAGATGAGTGCACCCTGGTCCAGACAAAATCTTAAATGGTTTCCCAAGAAACCAGAGGATGAACGAATGTACCAGAAGGGGGGCGCACGCCCTAAGGGTAAAAAGTATGGAACCAAAGGTGACCCATACAACTAGGGATCCCACTGGGAACCCCAGAGGAGGGGACCTGCTCCCCCACCACGTCGGCCTGAACAGCCTGAGACGAAAAAGAAACAGCAGCGGGTCCAGAAAGAGAGCCCCAGACCTCTGAGCTCGGACGAGACAGAGAGTGTGTGTCGGTTCTTGGAAATGTTGAAAGGTGTTGCCATAGACAAACAACCTGACGCGTTGTGTGGCAATATCATTGCTGATGAGTCAGAACACACAGACAACACCGTTACTGCTGTCACAGACAGTCACCATGACGTTGTTGTTGTAAACTCTGACAGGCCCTCACCAGAAAAAGGGTGGGTACAATCACACGTCACCGACGGTGACCTGTCACAAACTGTAACCTCAGTAACAGCAACAGCTGTGCTAACGGTTCAGACAAATCAGGGTGACACAAACAACAACGTTGCCGCTATCACGGACAGCCACCAGGACCTTGTTGTTACAAACAATGAGAGCCCCTCAACACACAGAGAGCTTGTGGTCTCATACATCAATGACAGTGGCCCGTCAAACATCGAACTCTCAGGAGCAGCGGCGACTGCACCAACGGTTCGGACAAACCAGGATTACACAGGCAAAGGTAAACGTAAGAAGAAACGTTGGCCAAAACCTACAAGGTTCCTGTGTAACCTTATCAGAAAGGGGGTTGCTAAAAAAGCTTATCTGTCGATCACACTTGAAGGGGTCCTCACACATGAAGCCCTACTGGACAGTGGAGCCGACATAACTATTATGTCAGCCAAACTGTTCGAGGAGCTCAGGACCGCCGCTAACGGTGTTCACAGGGAAATACCTTTCATAGAACGTGCTATAGAACTGCAGGGCCTCGCAGAGACAAGGACAACCCAGACAGCTATAGCTATAGTTCACATGCAGGTTGGCGAGATGACTCTATACCACCCGGTACATGTGTCTACGGTTGACTCATTCCCATTTTTGATTGGCCAGGATTTTATAAATCGCTTTGAGGCGATTATAGATTATGGTGAACAGACAATGTGGGCCTGAGTGAGCAAACCCCTGCCAATACTCATGCCTCCTGAGACAGTCACAGACTGCCCAACAGCAGGCACTGCAGAAGGCACCGAGGACTTCTCAGCAGAGAACACAGTCCCGGTAAGTAAGCCTTTAAAAGCACGTGAAACCGAAGAGACCCAACTCTGACCGAACAAGAAAGCCTCCTCTGCGAGCTAAGACAGTCAGAGCCCACCAGATAGTACCTACCATTGGTAGTTAAAGGTGTAGAGATCCAAGGATCCCACACCGAAGATGCTGTACTGTCGCTGTGGACAGATAAATCAGCTATTAACCAAGCTTTCTACGAAACATTGGTTAAGAAACATTTGGGTCCAGTTCTGGTAGAGAAAGCTTTCCGCTTTCCATTGTATCCCAACAGTTCACGAGTGATGACTGCGAAAGGAGTCATTAACCTGAAACTGATCTGGAACCAATGGGAACTGGTACACCCATTCCTCGTGGTCCCAGACTTACCACATACAACCTACATAGGCTCTGACATCTTGGTAAGGTTAGGTGTCCGAGTGGACACCAGCCACAATGTACTGTGGTCACTAAAACCAGCCAAAAAGGATCCTCCTGTGCTAGACACAGCAAACCTTACGGCTGGACAGACCATTCCAGAGGTCTGCCAGGTTGCTACCAACCAAAACACCTCAGTACCACCTCAGGTAACAAACTTGATGGTACGAGTCCACATCGTGGCGGGACAAGCTATTAGCCTTAAACAGACATACTTTCAACCATCTCCTACATTTTTCAATCTAGGACTGTCCATTGAAGCCGCAAGCCAAGTGAGCCTCGACTCCAGAACCACATCTGTTGCTGTGTGTAACACAGGCACAGAGGAGGTACTGATCCCGAGAAACACAAGGCTAGGATGGTTGATCTCCACAGATTTTCATGATTTTGAACTTGGCATTCCATTTCTGGGAGGACTCCCAGACAACCTGGTATCGAGTCGAGAGACTGGTCCAGTTTGGTTCACGAAATCAACACAGGCCATAGCTCTCTTGTCAACTAATAATGTCGATAAAGGACCTCAAACCTATAGTGTCCTAGATTAATACTACCTTAAGTACCATAACCTACATTGGTCTCATGACGCTCAAGCCAAACCTACTCGAACAACCCGATTCGGGGGGGGGGGGGAGCTAATCCTTCAGTTGAGTCTCGCCATAGACTCCAAAAACATTTATGGGGAAACCAAAAACCTAAACCTCAAGTCGTTCGTCTAAAGGGACAACAGACAATTGAACCAAACCTTATTTTGCCATGTAAATCTAAGTTAAACCAAGTTAGGAATGGAAAAATAGTTTGGAATGCCCTTCTATAGGTATAAATCCCTATATATAATTTTTCAGCATGACCCACCCTTTAACTGGTACCTGTAGCTGATCTAAGCCATGATAGCTTACACACCAGGTGCATATAGGTTAAGGTCTTATGTAAAATCCCACTCATAAGCCCAAATAAAACCACATAAATGGATGAACACATAGAACCAGAATGGCACCCACTGGGAACCACCAGCAGCAACCTTCGCTGAAGGGACCTACAACTCCAACGTGGGTCTCCAAACTCCATCCAGTGGTCGCCTCTGCAGTTCAATCGAGGGAACCCCTCTGCATGCTGATCAATGAACACCTCCAATCGTTGTGGATTTATCGTTGTGGATTATATGACTTTTTCCAATGGATTACAGACTTTGTTTCCAAGGGGTTAAAGCGTTGCTGCAATGGAATTACCAACAACATAATGGAATTACCAACAACATTATGGAATTACCAACAACATTATGGAATTACCTAAACCGTTGTGGGATTGCCTTATTTGACTTTTGTTTTCCTCTTGCTGGATTATAAGATCAAGGACATTCGGAGGCGTAAGTTCATGTTGGAATTCATCCCCATGGACAGGCGATGATTTCCAATGGGGGGACTGTAGTGAACTAGGCCTCCGACAACAATCTGTCTCTGAAGACCTTCAGGGGACAGGAACTGTTCATTGATTTGAATCCAGAAATACAAGTTATCTCATCAAGAGACTATTTAATTGTATCCTGAATTAATCAATTGAAAGAACACTCTTCTTTTATATTATCATTACTATTTTAGAATATCTTGATAATCAAATGTGCGTTTAGTTCATACCATTTCTAAATGTTGAAGTGAACCACTCATTGACTCAGTCAACCACTCTATTTACAAAGTAATTGTGCATTTTGATCTTCTGTCTGAATGAGTGGATTTGATGTCGGTCAGAAGTCAGGGATGTCGGTCAGAAGTCAGAAAGCAAGTTATGAGAACGAAGTGCCTTGTTTTAAAACTCAGCAGACAGTAAATAACTTCAACTGGCATCTGCGTTTGTCTCACTTCGTCATAACATTTCTCCATCTGTACTAACCGTTCGTAAACATTCCTGCTGTCTTTTGACTCCTAGTGACCCTCTTGACATCACTAGAACCACCCCCCTGCTGGTTGTTTCAACCAATCAGGAAGTACCAAGTGACAGGAAGTGAGTACTCTAAAAAGTCAACACTTCCTGGGACTATTCAGTCTTCTTTCAGTCTTCCTCTATGAAGTCTTCCCAGGAGTTTTCCACTTCTGAGTGGAATTTCTGACTGGAGTCTTACTGAGAGTTCCTAAGGAACTTTCAGATTTAATCAATAGCTGATGGATTTGACTGTGAGACAAGGGTCCGTCCATCCCAGCAGAGTCACAGCGCCTCGCTGTGGACTCAACCGGGCGTAACGCCCTACAACTTCGAAGGAAGCTTGTTCTGTTGAACGGAGTATATCGTCACGACTTCGGACAATGACCTGCCACCCTGACCGGAGACGCTAAAAGGTAGCATGCAAAGGGACCTCTATACTGGAGCTGATCCATCCACTGCAAAGGTAAAGAGACGTCACGAGTTGTCACGCACTAAGTGGACCGGGGGTTGAGCTGGTGTTGAAAGAAGAGTGCTAATTCTGGTCAACAAACATACATCTTCCTTCATCCATCTTAAACTTCTCTATGTCTTCTCTTTAACTTTTCTATTTGCCAGTAAACTAGATGCCTTCAGAGGTGAATCAGCCTCGATCAGTAATGTTCTGTTGTCTTGTTAGTAAAGTGTGCCAAGTTTTTATTAATCAGAAACAGATCAGCACATCAATGTGTACATGTTTTGATGTTAAATTTTGATTTTGTTAAATAAATGACCGCATTTATTCTGATGGGTCAAAGATAAAATGGTGTCTCGTGTCATTGATTAAACACTCCACTCACAGTTATCTCAGTCACATGGCATTAATTTAACTCGAAAAAGAAAATAATCCGTTGTAATTAACAATTAATATTCTTTGTGCTTGAACTAGCTTTAAGAATAATTAATTAGTAGTGTGTCTACAGCAGAGCTGTCCTGACATCTCTACACCAATGAAACCTAAAAACAGTAACCTTCTCACACCTTTCGCTGATTGTATTGCCGACATTAAACAGTGGCTTCATCGTAATTTTTTTTTTTTAAACGAAGGAAAGACAGAATGCATCTTCTTTGGTGATGATGCTCCCTGTAACTTTGGTGCTCTGGCATCTAAGTTCAGACCCACAGTTAAAAACTTGGGGGTGACATTTGACAAGGACTTAAAGTTTGATAAACAAATATCCTCTCTAGTCAAGGCCTGTTTTTTATCAGTTACGTCTTTTATCCAAAGTTATGCCTTTTTTTTAGGGATGCACCAATCCACTATTTTTACTTCCGATCCCGATACCTAAATCTAAATATCGGCCGATACCAATCCAGTTCCGATATCATGATCATCATTGATTTTCTATGAGACTGTAATAATCTCCTCTCAAGTGCAATTTGTACAAATCTATGCATGCATGTCCAAAAAGGCAACTTGAGGTAAGTTGTATTAATGTTGGATAAGTTTTAAAGTTAGAATTAAATTCTGCTAACACAAAACATGTTTCTTTTTATTCCTAGCTTTAAAGTGGATATTAAAGTGATTAATTTAAGTGATTGTTTAAAGTTATTTTATATTTTTTTTAAATAAGGGGCAGATATAAGAATTATTTTTCTTCTTTCTGCACTCTTTTCATTCAATGTTTTCTTTTTGATGATTTTTTTTTTAAATTTTGTTTCTTTTAAATGAACGAATAAATGAATAAAATAAAATGTTAAATGGCTTCAAACACCTGGCATAAACCAACAGGCATGATCCTGTTTTTAGAAATTGACATCACTTTATAATGTAGCTGTTTATGTTTTTAACATAATTTTCAAATCATATGTTTTTTATGAGGGCAGCACGGTGGTGCAACTGGTAGAGCTGCTGCCTCTCAGCGAACAGGTCCCTGGTTCAAACCCCGGTCCAGGGGCCTTCTGGGTGGAGTTTGCATGTTCTCTCCATGCATGCATGGGTTTTCTCCGGGTACTCCGGTTTCCTCCCACAGACCAAAAACATGCATGTTAGGCTGATTGGTAACTCTAAATTGTCCCTAGGTGTGAGTGAGAGAGTGAATGGTTGTTTGTCTCGTTTGTCTCTATGTGGCCCTGTGATGGACTTGCGACCTGTCCAGGGTGTACCCCGCCCCTCGCACAGTGATTGCTGGACATGGGCACCAGCGATCCCCATGACCCAAAATGGAATAAACGGGTAAAGATAATGGATGGATGGATGGATGTTTTTTATGATTGTCTACTGTTATACTGGTAAATATCTCCTGGAGGGTAAACTATATCTTGGCTGCAAGTATCAAGCTGTGAAATCTTTCGTTTTCTACAACTGATAGTGGTTGGTCATGAATCATGATGAAGTTTAGCAACTTTTCTGTAAACATTTGAGCTCCGTGGCTTCAGCGATGTCTTCTTCTTGTTCAATCCGAAGCAGGCAGCCTGACTTGGGGCAGCCGCGCTCAGTCTGTCCCTCCTCAGAGACGGGCAGACTGAGCGGGGCAGATTGGACGCAGCTGGCCGGGGTCGAGTCGCCTGTTGTGGGTTGAGCAAAGAGCAGCACCCCGCTGAAGCCACGGAGCTCGAATGTCCAACGTAAAACTAACTTTACCAAGGTTTAATGTGGTGCTATGGCTCTGCAGACATTGCATGATGCTGTCTTGTTTTGTGGTGTTTCTAGTGTAAAATACTTCCACACAGCAACATGTTTACATGAAAAGTTTGTTAGCTGTTAGCCACAGTGCTACTAACTCAGTCCTCACGTTGTAGCTGACTGCAAACTAAGAACTGGATTTCCTGAATGTGAGGCGGGTCTTATTACTCTGGGTTCATGAGACACGCCGCAGTTCAGGAAATCCATTCCATAGTTTAAAGCCAACATGCATCATGGATCAGAAATATCGGCAGGTGGATCGGAAAAATCTGATACGTAAATTATGCTGGTATCGGAGGCCGATACCGATACTGGATCGGATCGGCCCCATCCCTACTTTTTTTAATCGTTCTGATTTGGAAAAGGCCAGTCATGCTTTTATAACTTCAAGGCTCGACTACTGCAATTCCCTATATGCACGAATCTCCCAATCTTCCATTAGACGCCTTCAATTGGTCCAAAATGCTGCAGCTCGACTTTTAACCAACATCTCCAGACGTGAGCACATTACCCCTGTTTTATTTTCTCTCCACTGCCTTCCAGTCGATTTTAGAATTAAATTAAAAATTTTATTATTCACTTTTAAAGCTCTCAATGGTCTTGCCCCACTGTCCTTGGGCAACTGGGCTCAAAGCACCAATAGGAGCACCTGCAGCAGGTTAGGACAGAAAGTGGATCGTGGATTGGGTCATCACGTGAAGCTTGAATGGCATTTGAAACCCGGTAACTCACCCCAGGCAGAGACATGACAACCTGAGCATTGTGGTCCCAAACCATCCTCCAGAAGTCCTTTATGGAGCCAGGCAAAGGATTCTGGGTAATGATGAACTCCGTACTTCGTCTGTAGCCCTAAAACAAACAAACAAACAAACAAACAAACAAACACTAAACCAGATGTAAACTAACATTAAAAGAGCTCAGGCCAGGGGGCGCTGTTGAGCATCAACATGTAAGACAAGTCTCAGGCAGCTCTCCGGGAATGTGACAATTTTATCCTTTTTTGCATGACTCTGTGGATCCTTTTCGACACCTACGGTTAGTATTAACCTTTGTGAGCTACCTGTAACTGATTCACTGTTGCAAATTCTTGAAACCATGGCGGGATGAGGGAAATCCAACACCTCCAAGGTAGGTCGCAGTAATCCGCGACGCTCGCCGGGTCACAAAGCTAACTCTGAGCCTGATGCTAACGACTGCTGGAGTGCATGGAGGCGATGCTGGAGGGGCTGCGCTCAGACATTCTGAACAAAAATAGTCGAAATGATATCTATAGCAGTGAAGAGGGAGGTCGCGCCTGCCCTCACCTCGCTGGAAGGTAAAGTCACGGCACATGGACAGGTGGTGGAGGCACTAGAAAACACAGCTAATAGCCAGAGCGACATGCTAACTAGCTTGGAGGCTAAAATCTTCTCATTAACTTGCATGGTAGATTCTCTGACGAAGAAATGTGAGGATCTAGAAGGGCGCTCTAGACTGAATAATGTGTGAGTGATCGGTGTTCCTGAGGGATCTGAGGGCACAAAGAAACGTGCCTCCTTTACTAAAGTCAAGAAGTGATGAGTATGGTAGCTACAACCAGTAATTAATCTTAATGCACAATGAATGGTACACTGGATTCAAAGACTGTAAACAACTGTTTGAAGCACATATAGACAGTCAATTACTGGAAAAAAAATAGTAGCTTTGATCAGACGCTTCCTAGCTCTAAGGGAGAAACATGATTTGTTTCTGAAGTAGAACTCAAGCTCCACTCTTAATTTGGAGATTAGGTGTTTGACATGAAATTTAAAAGAAAGATCCTCGTCGATAATTAAGCCCATGTATTTATAACAGGAGACCCTCTCAAACACTTTACCTTGGGCAGTTTTTTATAAACACAGTTTTATTAGTTTTATATTTTCATAGACAAACAGAACAGCAGAATTGTACAACATGCTGCCAAAATATATTACATCAGTGTAGCACAAAAAGAAAGGAATAGGCAAGCAAAAAAAGGACCAAAAAAAGAAGAGGAAATGAGAACAAACAGACAAAAAAAAACCTGCCATTGTACTATGTCAAATTCACATTCAATCATGTCTTCATTTATCTCATGCTTTATCTACTGTTACAATGGTCGTCAAACATGCATATCCATATTCAGTCCCTAAGAATAAAGAAATCAGAGTTATTAGCTACGATGGTAGAGAAAAAGGGTATGGTAATAAAGAAGACAAATATTCACTGGTTAAGACCTGGTGAGACTTTCCACTTTATTCTGCCCCCTCAACACAAGTTGTGTCAGTTCTTTAGGTAAGTAGTTGAGCACAGAAGACCACATATCAGAGAAATATTTCTCATTCCCCTTAAGGACTGCACTAATCTTTTCATGTGGGAGGACCCTAAATAATTCTCTGTACCACTGTGTAACAGTTGGTGGTTTATTTTTAATCCAATTGATCAAAATGCATTTCCTAGCCAATAATAGCAATTTGTCACAAAGTTTGAAGTGTTTATGTGTAAGAGTGACTGATTTTGATGGGAGACCAAGGAGGAATAATCCGGGGTCACGGTTGACCCTGACACGAAACACGTCACTCAGCTCTTTAGAGATTGCAGCCCAGAATCTTTTGATCAATTTGCATTGCCAGAAGCAGTGGTAATAGGTTCCAATCTCCCTTCCACATTTGTTGCATAGGGGAGAGGACCGACGATCCATCTTATTCAGTATGGAAGGTGTTATATGTTTAGGTTTAGTATTTTATACTGTGTTTCCCTAAATCTATTGCATATAAAGGTTGACTTAACTACATTGATGGCTTCCTGCCAGTCATCTTCAATATATATTGTGTCAAGGTCCCTCTCCCATTTCCGCACAATGTCTCCAATACCGCCCGAATCGAGAGAGTAAAGCAATGTATAGAAAGTAGAGATAAAATGTCTGATATTTTTCCGGTCGACGAGGAGTTTCTCGATATTATTGTATACAACTAAGCCAGAGGGAGAAAGCCTCATAGAAATAACAAAACGGCGGATCTGAAGGAAACCGTATTAGTGTTCCTTAGGGATATCGAACTTTGACTGTAGTTATTGAAATGTCATGAGTATATTCTCTGTAAAAAAGTCCCCAATCACTCTCACTCCTCTGCCATGCCACAGGTCAAAAATGTTGGACTCAAGGCCTGGGATAAAGTCCTGGTTTCTTGTTATAGGTGTCAGGAGTGAGGAACAATGTCTGTTACCTGCGTGTCTCCAGATACCCTGCCACACTGTAATTATGTTATAAATAATTGAATTATTTTTAATAGCTCTTGATATCTTCCTCCTATCTCCAGTAACAATACTCCATAAGGAAGCAGGCTGAGAAGCCCACGAGTCAAGACAGGGCTCCGAATTGAGATAAGCATGTAACCACTCCCACAGATAGCGAGCATGGCAGACTCAGTTGTAAAGCCCCCAGTATACTCCCACGTACGTCTATAAGCAGAGGTACGCACGTACGTACGCGGAGGTACGAGCGTACCCCCCAGGGCATGTCTGTGCAAAGCTCAAATTTTTATGACCGCATACGCGTACGCGGTGTCGCACAATAAACTGCCCAGCGACGGACTGCTTGTGCTCTGCAGCTGCTCAAGGTGTACGCTGGAGTACGAAGTCTGAACCCTATGCATACAGTACACTCGTACGTATGCGTGAACGGACATACGTGGCAGTTTACTGAGTGATTTAGAGAGATGGCATGATCAACAACTGAAGCCCCCAGTAAACTGGGGGCTTCAGTTGTAATAATAGATGTTTGGTAAAGCCAAGCCACCCCTGTTAACAGAAAGCTGTAGGGTTTTGATTTTCTATTGGTGGTTTCTTGCCATGCCAGATGAATCTAGAGAATGAACTTTCTATATACCATACCATACCACTTTGTTTATAAAGCACTTAAAACAGCTACAAGGCCAACCAAAGTGCTGTACAGACAAAACAACAGGTAACACACAAAGCAAAATACAAAATGAGGTAAATCAGAATATCGACAAAAAAACGATGCAGATAATGACGACAAACCAGTGTGGAGCATACAGGATCAAAACGCAGATCATCTTGTGTTGGAAGCCATTGAATAGTAGTGAGTTTTTAAACTGGACTTGAAAACCGAGAGGGAGGGAGCCTGTCTGACAAGCAGAGGTAACTCGTTCCAGAGTCTTGGTCCAGCCACCTCTGGTTATATCAGCATTAACTTTTTATGTAGCCAGAGGGGTAACATTTGGAGGGGATATAGGAGCTGTGGGAAAATGTTCATTTTAATTAAGCCTATACACTCCATAAATGATAAGGGGAGATCATGCCATCTCTCTAAATCCCTCTTTATGTTCTTAAGTATTGGAGAGAAGTTGAGTTTCCATAGCTCTGCCAGGTTAGGGGATACATTAATTCCAAGGTATATAAAGTCATGTCGGGAGTACTTCAGGGAGCAACCAAAGGGCAGGTCCCCAATGGTACCAATGCCTAATGGCATAGCTACTGATTTATCAAAATTAATTTTATAGCCTGAGAAAGAACTAAACTCGTGGATAGTAGACAAAATAGCAGGTATTGAGATGTCAGGTATCGTTACAAATAACAGGACATCATCTGCATATAGCGCTATTTTGTGGATTTTACTGCCAATCGTCATGCCATGCACATCATGTTATGATCTAATTACCTCAGCTAAGGGCTCCAGTGCAAACTCAAATAGAAGCGGGGATAAGGGGCAACTATGTCGAGTACCTCTATATATGGAGAAAGGCGAAGATTGAACACTATTAGTCATAACACAGGCTGACGGGGAATTGTAAAGTATCTTAATCCATTTTAGAAAGTCACCCCCAATTCCGAATCTCTCTAATACGTTAAATAGGTACTTCCACTTGATCCTATCAAATGCCTTTTCAGCATCCAAAGAAACAGCAAAGGCTCTGCAATTTGCTTGATTTGAGTACTGGATTATTTTAAGTAATCTTCTCACATTTGTAAAGGAGAAATGGTTTTGAATGAATCCGGTCTGATCTGGGTTTATTAAGAAGGTCAAGAGCTTTTCCAATCTTGTTGCAAGTAGTTTTGAGAGCAGTTTACTGTCCACCCCCAATGAGGCGAATAGGTTTATATGAGCCACATTTGTCTGGCGGTTTGTCTTCCTTAAGGATGAGGTTGATGTTTGCCAGGTTTAGTGTTGGCGGCAAGTTTCCATGCTCAAGCTTTACCACCCTTAAGGGAGGCTATGGCTTCTCAGACATCTTTCTGAGAAATTGGAGCATTTAACATTTCTTGTTGTTTCTCTGATAGGCATGGGAGAGTTACTTCACTTAAGAATTTTGTTATTTTAGTATCATATGAGTCACATTCAGATGAATACAGCTTTTGGTAAAATTGTCTCATAATCCTATTAATGTCTGTTGTTTTGTAATGCCTGTCTTGGTTATTGACACATAATGAGGATATTGTGTTTCATTCTATTCTGCCTTTTGTCAGCCTTGCTAACAATCGTCCTAGTTTATTCCCTGATTCATAGTCTGTGTTTAGCAAAGAAAATTGTTGATTCCGCTTGCTTTGTTAATAGTTGATTTAAAGCTAAGTGAGCTGCTTCTAGTTTTTTAGATAGGACTCTAATAGGTGCATTTTTAAATTGTAACTCTGTCTGTTGTACTGTACTTTCTAATTGTAATTGTTCTTTAATGGTGGCTTTTTTCTGAGCTGTGGTATAAGATATGATACTTCTCCTAATAAAAGCTTTAGCCGTTTACCATAGCAATGATGGGTTGACATCTGGTGTCTTATTAGTATCCAAGAAAATATTCCACTGTTCCGTAATGTAGTCAATAAAAGATGGATAGCTCAATAAAGAGGGGTTCATTCTCCAGTGGCGAGAGGAGGTGACAGCATACGGATGAGTAATACACAGGCTTACAGGAGAGTGATCAGATATTGTGCATGTGCTAATTGTGCACTTTCTAATGCAGTCTAACACAGTTCTCTAAGATAGGAAGAAGTCAATTCTGGAGAACAATTACATGCCAGGGAGACAGAAAAGTGGGTGAACCCAGCCGGAGATAGAAATTCTTGCCAGGGGATTGAACTTTGCGGTTGCACCAAGTAGAATTCCTCTGGTGGAGATGATCACAGCCACAGAATCAGCCATCCGCAACAACAAAATTAAAGAGGGTGAAGCAGAACAACTCAGAATCAAAGTTTCAGCCTGCCTTAGCAATGCCGAACCACCACCTTCCAACATCAGTAGAGAGGAGAGGGATGCACTCACTACTCTTAGCAAGGACAAAAACATCATCATTCTCCCAGCAGACAAAGGAAGGTGCACAGTGATTTTGAATCAGAAAGACTATCATGAGAAAGTAATTACACTCCTTAGTGA